CATACCACAGTGAATGAGGGGGAGTGCAGAGTGGAGACCCAAAGCCCATCTGTGAGCAACTAGACATCCCCTTACGGAAGAGTCAGGAGGATGAGCCAGTCAGTGTGCAGTGTAGCAACAATGAAAACTTTCCTCTAGTTCCTAAATGAGCTCAACCCACTATCATGATCCCAATTCTACCTTACAAATCTGGCTAGACCAGAGGATGTACACTGGTACAGGTAGGAACTGGAAACAAGGAATCCAGGACGGATGATCCCTTCAGGACCAGTGGTGAGAGTGGTGATACCGGGAGGGTGGGGTAGAGAGGGGGAACCGATTATAAGAGTCTACATATAATCTCCCTGGGGGACAGACAATAGAAAAGTGAGTGAAGGGAGACATCGAAGAGTGTAAGATAAGACAATTATAAATTATCAAGGGTTCATGGGGGGGGGCGAAATGAGCTGATGCCAGGGGCTTATATGTGGAGAGCAAATGTTTTGAGTATGATGAGGGTAATGAACATACAAATGTGCTTTATACAATTGATGTATGTATGGATTGATTGAGTAAATAAAATAAATTTTAAAAATTTAAATCTGCACAACCATTCATGTATAGCAGTTCATGGCTGTCTATGCTAATATAATTTCCTTTTCTCAACAGTTTTACATTCTATAACACTGGCTAAATTAATGACTATCAGTAGGTTACCTTACGCCCCAGGATGATAATTGATAATGTTCTGTAACATAAAATGACAGTGATGTCTCTAAGGTGATTATGACATTTAAGTGCTACTTTTAAATATTGGCACTATTTATTAAATTCATATCAGGAGGCTTCCCCAAAGTTCCTGGAAAGAATGAAATGGAAAGACAATGGAAACTTCCCCCTCAGACCTCGTGTGATGGACAGAATTAATGGTCCCCTCAGGCCAAAGAAGCAATGCCCTGGACTATCAATGCTCATGAAGACTATTGGCCAGACCAGGGACTGCCAAGAGAAAAACATACCCGTCTTGGAAGAAGTACAGCCAGAATGTTCCTTAAAGGGGAGGATGGTGGGACTTTATCTCAAGTGCTTTGGGCATGTGATCAGGAGAGACCAGTCCCTGGAGAAGGACAGCATGCTTGATGAAGTGGAGGGGCAGTGGAAGAGAGGAAGGCCCTGCCTAAGGTAGATTGACATGGTGCCTGCAACAACCGGCTCAGACACAAGGCAGTGTTTCCTTCTGCTGTTCACGGCTCACTGTGAGTTGGAACGGGTCCCACAGCACCAGAGCAACAACAAGGATGCTTCTGTGCACCTCCGCAGCTGTGGCTGCCCGGCGTGGCCAAGGAGAGGTCATCTGCAGGGCAGTTACAGTGGCGTGGAGATGGAAGGGAGTGCTCAGGATTTCTGGTGTTAGTGGACATTGGCAGCTGATCTGAGCCCTTAGAAAATGGCATTAAGGAGAGGATGAGCACCCATGTGCTGACTTTAAACGTGGAGGCCCGTCACTCAGGACCCCTGACAGTCCAGCCTCCCACGGAAGACGGCAGTGGGGAGGAGGGGGA